ATGTCATTAATTATTAATGGATACATTAAATTGCTGGCAAATCTCTCAAACCACTACCAGTGATTTTCTACCTGCCGTAGCAACTATTTATTTGTAATAGAGAACTCTCATGTGTTAGGAGTTCTGTAAGCAATCTGATGAAGAAAGAGAGCCTAGAAGGTAAATACAGAATTACTGGTGTGAGTTACTGGGAACGATACAATATGAAAATTACCACTCAACCCTTGCAGTGTGGGGGAAGCCCCACTGCAAGGGTTAAGGCTAAGGCTTAAGGCTTTTTGCCCAGAGATCAGGGCCATAATAGCAAAAATATTGTATTCTAGTGTATGTGGTTAATAGTTTTAGTTCAGCTTTAGTCATTTATTTCAACTGCATGTCCATCAAAAATGGTACTGCACGATTTCACCACAGAACAAACAGGGCTGTCACCCTGTTAAAGGAAGTGGAACAAAAACTGATCTGTTATAACAGGGGTGGCAAACTCAAATTGTTGGATCAGCCTGCACTATATGTACTTCGCCATCAAGCTAGTAGTCTGAGAAAACAGAGGGAAGGCGTCATCGCACACAAGTACCACATTTTGTAAAACATTGTTTTCCTTTCACTGGCAACAAGTAAATAGTTACAATGTACTTATTTAGTTCAGTTTTGGGCACCAGTTCACAAGAAGGATGTTGGAGAACTATAGAGAGTGCAGAGAAGGGCAATTAAACTCATAAGAGGCATGGAGGAACTCCGCTATGAGGTAAGCTGAACTGAATTAGTTCTTCCTTGAGAAGAGGCGATTAAGGGGAACTATAATCACCAAATATAAATACATAAATGGTCCATATAGAGAACTTGGTGCAAAGTTATTCACTTTAAAGGTCACTGCAAAGGACAATGGGGCACTCTTTGCGTCTGGAGATGAAGAGATTTAATCTCCACATACAGAAAGGTTTATTCTATAAGAGCCATGCAAATATTCAATAGGTTTCCACAGGAACCAGTTCTAGGCAGGTCAGAGATGTTTTTTTTTAAATATAACTGGAAATTGATTTGTATACGTAATAACACCAGAGATTGTTGATCAATGGAATATCTGATTACCTTAGGGGATCAGGAAGGATTGTTTACCCTGTAAAAACAAATTGGACCATGCTTTGTAGGAGTTTTATTTTTGCTTTTCCCTAGATCAACTGTGGGTATAGGGTTCTATTTGTATACAGGTACTGTACTTAGGCCCATCACTTCTACATACAGATGTCATTTCTCTGGCTCCTATAGCCAGAGAAGAAGCTGGTGAAGCACATCTGTGCTTCATTAGCTTCTTTGGGGGTTTCCTAGGTGACATTAGGGGGTCTTAGAGACCCCTAAAGTCTCCATAAAGAGGACCTATCAGTGTGCCTGTGCTATCACATGGGGGGTTGTTAGCCCGCTATGTAATAGTAATAACATTAAGTGTAAAACATAAATAAATAAAAACGATTTTAAAAAATGATTGTCACGTATAAAAAAAATAATAAAAAAACAAAACAAAACCCCGCCCCCATGTTTACACACACACACAAACGTAAATATGCGTTGGATGCACCAATGTGCGAAAACGACAATTGCACCACACATATTATACATCACCACAAACGTTGGAGTGTGAGCAATAATTCTAGGGCCATCAATCACTGATAACACTAAACTGATGAGTGGTAAAAGCTTTTAAATTGTCGTCTATGGGCAATTTTGGGTATTGTAGTTTTTTTGCAGTTTCCTGGGTGCCCGCAATTTTAAGGCTTAACATGTTTGGCATCTGTTTACCCGACGTGACCCTGTCTTTTATATTTTACCAAAAAAATTGGTAACTAATAAATGTTTCATAAGATAATGTAGGGGAGTTGTTTTTTTTCAAAATTGTTGGTATTTTTGTTTCCTAATATAGTACAAAATAAAAACCCCAGTGGTGATGAAATACCACCAAAAGAAAACTGCATCTGTCCCCAAACAAAAGATGTAAAATTAATTTCAGTACAGCGTTGCATAACGGAATAAATGTCAGTCAAAGTACTGCCACGCTGAATACTGAAAAATGGCCTGGATCGGGAGGGGGTTTAACACCCTGGTCTTCAAGTGTTTAAACGTAACACATTCAATGACATACAAGTAATACAGAGCTGCATTAATTTGTGTCTTTTACATCTGCCTGGAGTTGAGTTTTAAAGTGACAGTAAACTCAGGAGTTAAATCTTAAAAATGCATTCAAGTACCCTATTAACAAAAATGCATCTTATTTGTGCATCACTGGGCTGTAGATCCTCAAATCATCTCTGAATTGGTGCTGATACTGTCCTTCCTTCTGGAGGGCGGCTACTTTTTTTCCCCATGGTCCCCATGTTGTAAAGTAGCCACCGCTCCAAGCTCGCTCCTGTGATGAACTACAATCTCACGTTTAGTTTACTAATTTGTATTGAGATTGTAGTCCATCACAGGAGCAAGATTGGAGCGGTTGGATCAGTGGCTACTTTGCAACACACACAGGGACCATGGGGAACAAAAGTAGCCACGCTCTAGAAGGAAAGGCAGTGTCAGCACCAATTCAGAGATGATTTGAAGATCTACAGCTGAGTAATACACAAATAAGATGTTTGTTAATAGTTAAGTGACTTGGATGCATTTTTGAGACTTAAATCCTGAGTTTAGTGTCACTAACGTCAGAGAAATTGCAAGTTTAAACCCAAACAAGTACTTTTGAATTGACCTTGTCTACTTAGTTTCCAGTAATGAACACTTGAATTTTCCACTAGTGAGCTATACAAATGTGTGTCTTTTAGTATTGAGTAGCAGACGGAAGTTGAGCATCTTCTGAACAAACAGTCCCTGCATACTAATTTAACAAGCTTCACTCCTAAACTGGTTCTGCACAATATATACAGTCCTGCCAATGGGCTCTGTGTAATATACATTGTCCTAATAGTATTCTTCGTCACTCACTGGTGGTATCAGACACTGGTGTTCTTTTCCAGGTGGAAGTTCCATCACACATGGAGCAACTACACCCCATGTTGCAGACAATCCTCTTACACACATGATCTAACATTTTGGTAGACCTCATGACTAGACCCCACCTAGCACCAATCAACTGAAACAGACATTAAAAATATCTGCTGACCACACTCACCCGTATAGAGAGCCCGTCACCCCCTCCCACCACCTCCACTTTCCCATAAGCAGGAATACTTTTAGTAAATTATTTCCTTTTCAGCTGCTGTTTTCGAAAAGGGTAATTAAAATGTTTAAAATGTTAGATTTTAAAAAAGCCTGCCTGGAATTAGGACTTCCTATATCACTAGTTTATCTACTGTATGTAACAATAATGCTTAAGTGTAGTGCTGGAATATACACCAAGTGAATGTGTTTGGTTCTACATAGATCGAATCAACCATGACTACACATTTTTATTCAGGGTGAGTGACTAACTAAAATAAACAGATATCCCATTGCACTGGAATCCCACTGTAGTATGTAGAAGGGTGCTGGAATGACATGCGGTTGGCAGCGCACAAATTCAAACGTAGACGAGATAGTCACCAGCACACTAAGATCCAATGTAGCAATAAGTCCTTTTCTTGACAGCAGATACACATGGCATCACAATATGAGCAACATTTCGGAACCTACTGAGGTCCCTGCATCAGGCAAATAACATAGTGACGGTCACTATGTTATTTGCCTGATGCAGGGACCTTGGTAGGTTCCAAGCTGTTGCTCATACTTGAGATGCCATGTGTATCTGCCATCATTAAAAGGACGTATTGATGCATTGGACCTTGGCGTGCGGGTGAATATCTCCTTTACGAGTGACTAACTAAAGACGCAGGTGGATCAGCATGACAGCCAAGCAAAGTGCATTTTTAAAAGAAGTTTAGTAATGGCAGTACACAACTTTACCTCATGAAAAGTTCAAGCACTATTGGTATTGGAAATAGCCATATAAAATATTACCTCTTACCTGCTTTCTTATTGTGGAACTACACCCTCTAATGTGGAACTACAAACCTTTACAGCCAAGGAAGGTGCCATCTTAGGCTCTATTTGGAGTGCAGTTGCTATGATGCCGGACATTTGATCACACTGGCAACCTTGACAGTTATTACCAGAGGCATGCATTGAACTTCATGGTTTTGGAAGACAGTTAAAATCGGTAGGTCTAGTTCCACTTCTAAAGAAAGGTCCACATGCCTCAATGCAGTTAGGACCTGTGTGGCCACTCCATCTCAGTATGCAGATCTGAACCAGGTAAAAAATGTGCAAGTCGCGCTGCTAATCAGTAAACTACAGAGGACGGGAGCACCAATTTGATATTCATCAGCGTGTAATATCCAGGATGGTAAAATATAATGATTTCACTGTAAATAAAACAGGTATCAATGTTAAGTGGCTATAAACTAATTTAAGCAGCTGCTTATTGAAAACCTTGTCCATCACCGCCTACCAATCACGTTCTACATGCAGCAAAAACAATGCTTTGGTTTCATGAATGACAGGTCATATATTTGGAGTACAGCATTCAAACAGTAAAATGCTACTGTAGTCAAATGATAGAGCCAATGCAGTCTGAACCTGGTGCAGCAACTGCCAGGAATACCTGGACTCATTTTAAGAAACCAGCTACAATATATTCATCATACCATTAAGAGACCCTAACAAAAAATGTTTTACCGGTGACATTTCAGAATGTTTGCTGCAAAGGGGAAAGACTAGCATTTCAAGAAAGCCTGCGGCATCTATATCAGCTACAGTCCAACCCCCACCTCCTGTCAGTCAAGTCAACCCCTACTATGTATGGGAAACATGCAATTATTGATTGTGGGATTTTAGAAAGACCTTTTTCAAAATATTCATCTAAAACGAAAAAGCTCATTTCTAGATCATACTTGACAGGAGTTGGACACCTAACCAATAACAGCAGCAGAAATTCTGCATTTGCACCGCTGATCTAGACCAAGCTGAGCAAGTGGTTTTCTTACCGTTTGATGTCATTAATGAGTTTGTTTTTTTCCTGGGCCACACGCTTATGATGCATCCTGTGGAAATCGCGCTCTTTCTGCAGCTTTATCATCGATTCTTTAGCTTTACTGCATGAGAGGAACACAAAGAACATTTTCTAAAGGCCAAAGCTGCTGAAAGTTTTAACATTTAACAACTGGAAATAAAAAGGAGGTGCAGCAGAGACCAGGTTTCTTTAAACCACCAAATAAGACATTGTAATTAAATCAATTTAAATGCATTGTGTAAACGTATGTGCATTCAAAGTATATGTTTCAGGGACAAATCGGGGTGTATTAAAAAAAAAAAAAAAAAACATTCACAGAGCTGTTTGTTCTGCCAAAAACTGACTTTTACATATGTAATGCATTATGACCACTACAGGGAGCCAAGGAGCAATTGATGTACCCTCACTTTGGGAAGTAGAGGCGTCCCTTCATGCTGAAGAGGACTTCACCCTGTCCACGGGCATACTCACAAGTGTGTTGTCAGAGATCGTGTCACACCAGATGCTGTGAAACAACTTTGTAAAGTGGCTAACAAGTCAGTACATTAAATATACAGAAGGTACCACAAGCAGAGTCCCATGCTCGTAGGTCACATCAGAAGCAGGACCTATACTCCTTAACCCATATGGCTTCCAAGGCAGCGCAGAGGATTAGTGGATCTGGATAGCTTCATAAAGAGCTCAGCAGCGTAACTATGAAATATTGATTACAGAAAAAAATAACTCCTAATAAAAAGGAAAAATGTTGGTAAAAAATAGGCAAACTTTTATCAAGAAAGAAAAGACGTCCATCCTGTTGGGACACTAGCAAAAAAAAAGTGAAGAGTGATGGGAATGGGAGGAGTGTATACTTGGCTGGATAGCATTTGTCAGTGTTCCATTTCCCCTTTAGGTGGCAATATAACCCAGTTGTCTGAGTTACTTCTTATCCTGTGTCCCTTAATGAATGAATGATAAATAAAATATCATAATGTTGCAGGATGTTACACATTTTGTGCTACATCCTACTATTTGCCATGTCGCAGAACGCATGCTGAAATTTAATTACTGAGTGGTATCCATTAGCATCCTAGCTATGCACTTGCTTAAAATGATTGTGTGAAAGATATTATCATGAATAGTAGGTTGTTTTGCTGCTACATTCCTGGGAATAGAAAGCAGAGAGGAGGCAACTCTGCTTGAGCTGCATGCCACCACTATGCAAGTAAAGCACAACCTCATTGCTCTTACTTATGGAAAGAGTGAAATGCACCATCCCTATCATTAGAGCTGCATTGTAACACTGCAGCTGTCACATGTCGGCTTTATAGATCGAGAACTGAATGATTACATACCACTGATCGCTCAGTTCCCAATCTTGTCCCTGCAGAGAAGATGCAGAGAGATGCAAGGAAGAGGGGCCAGGCACAGCTGACTCTGCCGCTAGAAAGGCAGAGCCAGCTGTCAATCAGGTGGCTAGGTGGATCTAAACAATATTGGTTGGGATCTTTCCCGGGTGCAGCGCGGCTCTGCACTGTCAGCATATAGCGGGCAATTGCCCACTATTTGCTGAGTTTTGGGTCACTGGAGGACATGGGTAAATGTCCTCCTGTGACCCTAAAGAGAACTATGGTCAAAAAAAGGTTGGGCCATAGTGCTCTTAAGAGAACACATTTTTTAAGCAATTGCATCTTGTAGGAAATAAAGCATTTATACTTTATTCAGACTTGAAACATGGGGCATTATGAAATCTATAGAATCAAATGTAAAAAATGAACAGCAGGGGCGAATATAAAGAAAAGAAAAATGATAGCGTAGCTTTGAAATAAACTCTTCAGCTGACTTCTAATTATATAAAACCATAACCAAAAATACATTCATTTTAGTTTGCTTTATTAAAGCTTCCGCTCAGTTACCAATCTCCACACGAACACACCCAATAGACACAGGTTATACTTTATTAAAAGTGATAAATATTCCCCCATGAAAAGAAATATTGAAGGAAGCAACTTTATGAATATTTCATTTCTGCAGATATACTGGAGGATTTTTCTTGTGACTCTGCATTCAGAAAAGCTTCATGCTGAAAATCTGGAAATGAAAGCTAATGAGAAGCTATTTTCTATATTAAGTAATGAGTATTCCAACGGGCTCACAGAATTATTAGTAGAGCAATCATTTTCAGACCTTTAATACAATACATTTGTGTTTTCATTCATTCAATAATGGTATTTCTTTCCAATAAGAGGAGAAAAGATATGTGCAGCTGCAGTGGGTGTTGTTCAGTTAAGATGAAATAAAATGATATGAAAGCAGCGGTGTGTAAGAGGGCTTTTGACATTTCTTAGGAATACAAATGGTTTCGGGTTTTCCCTCACAGTACCTGCAGGTTCCACAGTTATCTTGATTTATGTTTTCTTTAGTTCATATGATAAAAAATGTATGTTCCATCAAAACCCTGTAGCTTTTAATTTCAGTGCATCAACTAGCTGGCCACTCACCAACAAGTGGTTGACTTTTTGGCGTTTTTTCCAGGACCCAGTATTTCGATCTCCGACATCTTTCTTCTGGCTAGTCTCTTTATACTATCAAATGGCCCTTATTATGTACTGCAGCTCAGGCATTCTGCAGCTTCAAATAAAAAAGGCCCCAAATAAAAAGGTTTGCCCAACACACTGGTACATTGCCTGAGCAAAACGCTTTTGTCTATTATTTTGCAGTACTTCGATATTCAAATATGTGGTTATTGCTGCCATTATAACCTTTGCCTACATTGAGACTCTGCCCGAGCACATTCTGTCTAACTTGTGTCTGACACAATGTAACCCGTATGCACATATCCTGATCACAATTTGTTCAAATACTGAACACCCTTGGTATGTTTATGTATGTTTATGTAGCAACCAAGGAATATGACCTATCAAAAATCCATCCCATTATGAAGGGGGCTCTGGTTAAGATGACATGCCCCTCTACACTTATGGGCCCATTAACACTATTGATCTGCATTAGTGCACACACCTTAACACATGTTATGCCGTGTGTTAACGTGCATTGCGTTAAGGCAGCCAATTCCTTTAAAGCGGTTGCCTAACACACTAGAATGCACCAAAAAGGTGCATGCATCATTTTTGGCAGGCACCACACCACGTTAGTAAGCAGTTGTCTGATGACATGAGCTGCAGCACATTGTCATTGTTAAGGTGGAATGGGCTGTTATTCAGAGTTAATAGCGCTGCATTGCACCAACGTGCGTTACTGCAGCAAAATAGTGTGAATGGAGCCTCACTCAAACATGCTTCTAACACTCAGGGTTCATACTATGCTTTGGCAGTCTTCAGAAAGCTAATAAGCCTCTGATGTCAGTCAAGGTGCACTTCAGACAGTGTGTTCACTAAAAACAGAAATTAAAATAAGCATTGCAAAGCAAGCATATTCAGCACAGGCCTATAAAGCAAATGCAAAACACTGAAAATAAATATAGCTCCCTTATGAATGCGAAATGGTTAATTACAATATTAAGAAGGCAATGGTTCGACATGAACAGCATATTCTAAGCAACAATTACTATTGTCCTATACTTACAAGAGGCATTTTTTCAGATTTAATATCTTGCTGAATAGCAAAGCTCGCATTGTTCCTCTGCTTGCTTAATATTTTAATTAGACACTGGACATAAATAAAGGATCGTGTTTTATTTCTGTTGTGTTGTACCAATGCATTCTGGCACTGTGCTGAAACTAATACTACTGGTCTTTAATGAGGTGTAGTTTGCAGTGGTCTTATCAATTTAAACAGCCTTACTGTACCTAGCAGCCAGCTTGTAGGTCTCCACTTCCTTTCTTAAACTCTTTATCTCCGTATCCAACATCTGGTTGTGAGCATAGACATCTGGGATGAATCCAACGGCTTCTGGCTGCAGGAGACCTTTCTGCATCCTTTCATACCTGGAAGAAAAGCAAGCAGGTCTAATTGTATTCGATGACAATTAAACAATTGTTGTGAGCCATAACACACACCTGGGGTTTGAAATATTAAACAGTCATTACCTTGACAAAATAACTATAGAGGTTAAACATTTTCAAGTAGTTGTCTACTGCTATACAGATTTCTTGACTGGTGGTAAAAAATAGTCTTTTTTGTTTTAAGCCCAACTCTGGGCTATTTTTTTCCTCACATGGCCACCCAGCTGATCAAAAAAAAAGAAACATCACATCATCAACGCTCTCTGCATTTGGAGGACTGCTCACCGCCAGAAGAAACCTGAAGAGGAACAGGACCCAGCACATAACATGAATGGCTTGAAGAGTTTAGAAAAAGGCAAGCACAAGATAAAAAAAAAAAAAAAAAATTGACTTACAGCAGGGGTACCCCAAGCGGTGGCAATAAGCTGGCGGGGGTTGAGCATTGAATTGAGCCTAAAGCATTTTTTTTTAAAACTTGTATTCTGACAGCATACATGAGCTGTAGATGGAAGTGCTAGCTTATGTGTTTCCTACCACTGTGTTCTCTAAAAAAAATGATCATGATCTAAAAAAATGCCGTCCACGCTCAGTGTGTTAATTAAAGTGTCATCCCACCAAAAACTGGCACTGTTAACCCGCACCCTAGCTTCTTGTATCTTTTAGGGACCATTCACAACAGAATTCGAGTAATAACAAGCACTGGGGTATGTTTACCTAAGAATTAGAGCGTGATACGCAACAAATTGGATGTTCACTTAGCTTTGTAAGTGACGAAAACTGTGTAAACTCCTGTCATTTAGTCATGTGCTAGGACACATTCTGTTTTACCCAATGTTGCACATGATTGGGTGTTCAAGGTGAACATGTTTATCATTTTACCAGGTTTAATCTTTACCAACAGCCACAATGCTAAGTAAAGGTTTCATGCCTTCAGTAAACTGACCCTATTGGCCTAGATAAAACATACAAGGGGCAGTGCCCTGTATTGCGCCACGCATATTTGGGCACACAAACGTGTGCACAGTGCCCCCAACAGAGGTTTACTAGGTGCAAATTGCACTGTGATAGTGCACACCCAACTCCTGATCACTGTGCATGAATAGATACAGCAATTAAATAGAAGCTTACTGTATGGCTTCTTCTCCTCCTCTTCTCAGGAGAGTAAAGTGCAGGCACAGAGGAACGCATGGTCAATGTCCATCCAGACACATGATATAATGGAACCTGAGGGCTGGCTCCCAGCTAAAGCTGGTCATACACTGTTCTGTTTTTTATTCAACATGCGGGCTGAACAAAAAAATAATAATAATAATAGAGCAGATTCTTCCATTAACGCTTCTAGGTTTTGATGGATGAATCCCCCACTGTTTCCTTTTTATTCCGATAGCAACCGCCGGCCACTGTCCACATGCAAGAAAGGTGCTTGCAGCCTATTTGGCTGTAAGCACCGTTTGTTCGAAGATTTTCCAAACGGATCCTTCGATCTTCTGATCGAGGGATGCCAGGCAGAAGGGTGCCGACAGCGCCACCCACTGTGAGAATTTTGGCTGGTTCATGAAGAAACTTGCATAGTGTATGGCCAGCTTTAGTCTTCCTTTGTACAAATGCTTATCAAAAGGGAGTCTGCCTGATGTGCAGGTCTATGTCTGGTCTGGCCGGGTGCAGCTAATATCTGCACTACAATATAGTATAGAATTCTCCAGGTTTTGATGCACTTGTCGCAAATAATCTTTAACATAGGCACACTATGTTGATGATTTGGCAAATGTCAAGTGTGCATCACATGTGCACCAAAAATGTTGTAAAACCAAAATTGTATCCGGTCCATTGTGTTTTGTATGCTTTGTATTCAAAAGAATGCATTTGAATTGATTTGAATTCCATCTTGCAGGTCAAAATGCTCAAAATACAGCCTGCATGACTTTTTAAAGGCATTTTCTGAAACACAGCAAAATGTATCTCAATGTATCCAATGAGCTCTTAAAAAGGGCCCTCTGATGCAGTTAGGCAACACAGCAGATCTTGTACCTTCCCCAGTCCATGAAGAAGCAGTAGACTGATGAGCTCATCTCCATCTGTCACTTTGCTCTCTCATTCTATCAGCATCCCCCTTGTTAGCATTGCAGAACAAATGACTGGCTCCTTGTGCTACTTCTCCCTCTCCAAGTCTAAGCTAAGTACAAGAAAATACAAGAAGCTAATACCTGATCAAATTGAGGCACTTGCACTGCTTGCATTAAGCAATACATTTAACAATGTACAAATAAATACACAGCTGCGTTCGTTTGGGTTTTCTATCTGTCTGAACTTCAGCTTTAAATAATACTGAACTCCAGGCAGCTATGAAAGACACAAAAGTATTTCTGATTTCATGGGAGTTCTCAGTTTTCTAAAATGGGTTAATGTCTCGCCTTAGCTTTATTCTTTCGCTGCCCCCCATTTATAAGGGGCTTGTCATGTCCCACTTTCTACAGATGCTAATAGAAAAGTACGTGTAAATGCCTCCGTATATAAAAGTAGAAAGATTCAAGTCCCCTGGGTTTACTGGGAATAGGAGGTTTGGATCTTCCACTTGGGAATTCCGTATGAAAAATTCTGTGAATGTTTAATTACCTCTGAGAGCATCTATGCAGATTTCTCCCTCAGCTATAACATAATGTGCATCATAATATACACTTTATGCTTTCATCCTCTTACCTGCTTCACAAAAATAAGTACTGATGAAAAAATATTGCTGCTGTCATTGTAATAAAAATTTAAGCATATCTGCCAACAGTGTTCTTGGACGTCATGTCTAGAACTGCCAGTTCAGTGGTACAAGAATCCATGTCGAAGATTTTATCCATCTACTGTGGCAAATATACAAGGTGACTGCCCTTTGCCACTGGCAAACTGTGTAAGGACAGCGGGCCCCATTGCCTCTGGCATGTGGTATCTGTGTACACTGGAAGGCATGTATTCTTTATACTGCATGGCTCCTTCTGCACAACTTGTAGCTCTATTACCTGACAGAATTATGCTGGGAAAGGCTGCCGCATCGATTGGCAAGGTGCACGGTGCTACAGCTTCAGTTAAAGAGAACCAGTTGCAGCTGGGGTTATATGAAAAGTATTATGATACAGGCTTGCATATGGAAGATTTATATTTGCCCTGTTATTTAGCATGAAGCTCCCCATACACCATAAATCTGGGAGTATAATCTTCATACAATCAACTCTATATTCATCAAAACTAGGGATGCACCAATATATCGGCTGCGGAAACATGTCGGCCGAAAATGGCACTTTTGGCATAATGCCGAAAGTGCCATTTTCTGCCGATACAGCAGTGCATCCGTTCTTTCTCTCCTTCCCGCTGGGTTCTACTCTGTGTCCCAGCGGGGAGGAGAGAAACTGTCACAGGCAGCCGAGCGCTGCGGGAGGAGAGCGCTGCGAGCGACCGGCCTCTCTCCTCCCCGCACCGCCCAGCCTCCTGTCACAGATCAGAGGAGAGCGGCGGTGTGTGGCGAGACAGCCAGTGCTGTCACGAGGCTGAGCTCTCCTCCCGCTCCGTTCGAATGAATGGGAAGTGATATACATCACCTCCTGTTCATTCATGATTGTGGATATAGTAAACATACTATCTCCAAGTTATGAATGAACAGGAACACTCAGTATAGAGAAATCTTATTCATTGATAACAGGGGCTGCAGAAAAAGAGATTGAAGACTTTGTGTCCTCAATCTCTTTTTCTATTTTAAGAGGGAAATATCAGGGATCTGTTTAGACCCCTAATATTTCCCAGAAGCTCCTAAAAGTAAAGTAAAAAATACAAATATTTAATTAAAAATGTATACAAATATAAAACATTAAAAAGTTTATAAAAAATAAATACAAATAATTAAGAATTTGAAAAAGTTAAAATAATAAAAAACTTTTTCGGTTTCGGCCTGACAATTTTTTTTTTTTTTGGTTTCATTTCGGTTTTGAAATTTTAATTTCAATGCACCTCTAATCAAAACCATGTTGTAATATGAGGACTCACCTTAAACACCCAATCAATATATATCCTAACAAGTAGACCCTTGTGCTACATAGTCAATAGATCTAAAAGGAGATTGTACAGTCAAATTGCAATGTGTGCAGAGAAATTTCTGTGCCTGAGCCTTAAAGTGACATTAAACCCTCAGATTTTTTAACATAAAACAATAGTGTAATGTGTGCCTTACTGTAATCCATGGTAGTTTCCCTTCTCTTTGCTGCTCTTCCTTTTAAATCCTCATGTCTTCTCATGCTTGGGGAGAACTTCCCTTTGCAGCTGAGTGCCTCTTCCTGTAGTGCTGGCTCAGGTTGCAAACCTACACACAGACACCATGTATCCATTTCAGAGACAAGGCAGTCTGCTGCAAAACAGAAGTTCTGCCCAGCATGAGAACAGATACAGATTTAAAAGGAAGAGCAGCAAAGAGAAGGGAAACAACCATGGATTACAGTAAGGCACACATTACAGTATTGTTTTATGTTAAAAAATCTGAGGGTTTAATGTCACTTTAAGCCTCATTCACACAGTGTTAAGTCAGGCCGTATCGGGCCATTCCCTGGAGGGACAGGTGCTGCATGTGATTGCACGCAGCACCCTGTTCTTCCCTATGGGAGGACTTGGCCATACACTGTCATGCACACACTCGAACTGCACATTCATGTGGGTCCGGGTGTCTGTGCTCACTTGCAGATAGGATCCATCCTATGGGAGGACGCGGACAGGATGGATCCTGTCTGCGTCTGAGCACAGACACCTGGACCCACATGGATGTGCAGTTCAAGTGTGCGTATGACAGCGTACGGCCGCGTCCTCCCATAGGGAAGAACAGGGTGCTGCGGGCAATCACACCAAGCACCCTGTCCCTCCGGGGAACGGCCCGATATGACTGTGCACGCCGAACGAATGTGTAAAGCCCGACTTAACGCTGTGTGAATGAGGCCTTACTCTTCAGCTTTAGTATCAGGGGTCACCTAAAGTCATAAAGATGCTGCCCTGACAACAGGCTTACATCTAGATGGTCTTCCAACTCTTGAGAATGCATAACGATGTTAAATAGCAGACCAATAAATATAGTGGCTTCCATTCCTTTTATTTGTGAGGATCTGCATTTTAACATTGTTATGCATTTTCAGGAGCTTGAAGACAGCATGCAAGGTCAGGCAGCATATGTAAGCCATCAGTTGACCTCTGTCCCCGAACACTCAACACTTATGTATGTCATATGCCTTCGTATATTAATTTCATTTTGCAAACGCAAACTCTTGCATAAGGCCAATCAATAGAGTTTACATTCAGTCTGCTGCACACTAACAGTAGTCCGTGTCACAAAATGACAGATTTTTTTTTAAGCCACACCATATATTATAATAATGTACTGCATTACTATGAAACTCATTGTTACTGTCACTTTTGTTTCTTAGAACACTGTTAAAATAATGGTTAATAGGTAAAGGAATCAGATAGCAAAGTAACACTTCTTCACACAACTGCCATGCTACTATTACATATTTGCTACATGTCGAGAAGAGCTGGCAGCAGCTCCTGTTTGAATGAAACCTGCAAATGCTCTTTAAGGGCTCCATTTATAAATGCATAATAATTTTGCAATGTATCAATTTTTGTAGTTATGTGCAGACCATATTATCCCCCCCCCCTCCCTGATTTGCATACAATATTACAGTAAATCTAAAAGGGTTAAAAAAAAAAAAGCTGCCATTGCTAACCTCCTCCTAAAGGGATAGTTGCCAGGCTTAAAGAAGAACCCCCGCACTACAAGGGTTAACTGCTCCTTTTAGTCTAGGAAGGAAAAAAACAAGTTATACTCACTTGTTCGTCAGAGACGGCTGGAGGTGACAACAATCCCTCCAGCCTGTCTCTTCCTATGCTCCAGCAATAGTATGTCTGTCTGCATTCTCACATCCTAAACACTTTGTATAGAATGTGATGACTCAGGGACTGCTGCAGTGGAGAGGGAGCAAGGCTAGAAGGGCTGGTCTAAGAGCAAGCCGGCTCTAAGGATTCTGTGAGTATAACTTTTTTATTTTCCTACCTAGAACAAAACGAGCAGTTAACCCTTGCAGTCTATGGGGTAGCCCCACTGCAAGGGTTAATACAAATTTTGCCCGGAGCTCTTCTCAGACCCAGAACTTGCATGCAAACAGTGAAAGGAGAGTTGATTAGGTAATTAAAGCATTATAAGCATTATAAAGTCAGGGAACAGAAAGTACTGAAGCCAATGAATGAATTTTCATCCCTCAGCACAAGTGTCCTTTAAGTAGATCTGCCAATAATCTAGATGTCCTGGAAGCTGCGACACCCAAGAGTATCAGGTTCTATAATGATTAGTAGCTTATCTTTAGCTGCAAGGAAAGGCAGTAAACTGCTAACTTGATTTTATTTTAAAACCAATACCCTGCTTTATAATTAGGTCATAGTTCTTCCGTAACTAGGCTCTGAATTTTTTCAGTAGGGGATGAGGAAGAAAAATGTAAGACATTGTTTGGATCTGAGCAAAATTACAGATTTTCTTTTCTATTCTTTTCTTAACCCCATTCCAATAATAAGAATGATGAAATGGTAGGCCTATGACAATTTTGATAGCTTTTAGCATCCTCAGATGTTGTGACTCGAGACACAAGAAAAATCTACCATTCTGTCTGAAAGCACTCCAAAGTTTTCATCATCCCCGTTTTAATCAGAAAATTGCGCAGAAAATCGTCCACCACTTCAGGTCTGTGAGATGCGGCCCGCTGGGAAGAGACTGGAGATCTCTGTGACTACAAGAGAGAAGAAAATAGGAACTCCAGTTATTAAAGTACGATCATGGTACAAACAAAAGAATAGGACAGTATAGAAAAACAGTCTTAACTTATACATTTGAATGTTTAATTCATATAATAAAACTACTGTATCAGAAACGTGTCTTCATACTGAGTTGCCACACTCCAGCTGAAAGTGTATAGGAGACTTGCAGTGGGAGTACCTGCTCTAAAAGCTGACAATTAGGACAGGAGAAACGTATGTGAGCTCACATAAGGGAAGTGAGCTCAAAAGAAGATGACACCAATGTGGTGATGTCCACTAGTTATCCAAAGAGCAAAAAGGAGGTAGCGCATTAGCACAAAGGCTGCACAAGTGCAAGCTCATTAAATGTCATGCAGGCAAACAGCACAGTAGGCAGATTGGATTGAAAAAAAAAAAAAGCTCTATTTACAAAACCTACACATCAGGATAAGGATCTTTTTTTCAGCCAGGGTAATGTAATTTTCAAATCTCAATATAGTCAGCTGAACAAAACTGTTACTTTTGAAAATAAGGATTCATATCCTGGTGTGTTAGCTTTGTGAATTGACCTTTTTGTGCTGGAAGCAAAACCAAACCCACCTGTTTAATGGTCTCCCAAAACAGTTACTTCTAAGGCATGCCATCCACATAAGGTCTAAGATGGCACTTTCCTGAGTTGACTGTAAAGGATAGGAGGGTAAAGCTCCACTGTAAAAGTAGCACTAAATGCAGGAGCAAAATCTTACAAACGCATTTAGGTGCCTTACCCAATAACAAACATGTAACTTATTTGTGTATCCTTCGGCTGAAGATCATCAAATCATCTCTGAATTGGTGCCAAAATTGTCCTTCCTTCTGGAAGAAGTCCCTGTGTGTTGTAAAGTAGCTACCGCTCCAAGCTCAAGTGACGGGCTCCAATCTCAAATCTCACGATAGTTTACTAATTTAAATTGACATTATAGTCCATCACAGGAGTGAGCTTGGAGTGGTGGCTACTTTACAACATACATAGTTGATCATAGGGAACAAAAGTAGCCACCCTCCAGAAGGAAGGACAGCGTCAGCCCAATTGAATGATATAAGGATCTACAGCCGAGTGATTGCAAATCAGCATTTAGCTGTTTGGTTGGAACTATGGCCAGGTCACACATGCATTTTTTGTGTTGCATCTGCCAATTAAAACAAAAAAAAAACACACCAACTGAATGGATGCAATTGAATGGGTGCTGCATGATTCTATCATGAGAATAAGTAGGCATTAAATAATTACATGGCTGTGTAAAATCAACCAAACTATGCAAGATAAGCATTTGGGCAGAACAGAGCGGAAAAAAAAGTGATGATCCAACTTCAACCAGATGGCATGGTGGGCATATATGTTGCAATTTTTTCAAGCAATACAATTGAGCAGAGGCTTTCATAGTGCCTATATGGCTAATAACACTAAACAAGAGGCTACCAAAGCATGGGTAGGTCCTTATATGTCAGTTTTAAATAAGGGATTTTCTTTATATACAGTAACCTGTATTGTTGATCCAATTAAAAGACCTTTAAAAGCAGCTCTTACATTACAAAACCAGTGAAAACTTGAATCGTATTCATTGTTGTGAATTACCAAACATTACTACTTACTTCAAAATGTAGATAAAGAACAGTTCCCTACTGCACCAGCACCAAGCCAAATACTGCACTCAGTTTACCACTAGCTTTTGAATCCCATGTAAAGTTTCATTATGCAATTAAATTAAGGGGGTTATTCACAAAAGGGTGAAGAGTTTGGAGAAGGCAGGAGAAGTGAACAATTCTAGGGCAAAATAGCGGATTTGGAAAAATTCTCCAATTCAGATCACTTTCCAGTTCAGCTATGTTGTCCTAGATTGTTCCCTTCTCCTACCTTCTCCAAACTCTTCACCCTTTTGTGAATAACCCTGTCTTGCGATGGTTGTAAGGTACTTAAAAAAAACGTACGATCTGCCTATCTTGCATAGGCAGATCGTACTTGCGATGATCGTAAGCCACGCCCCCTGAGGGGCGGGCTTCCGATGACCGCAATGCCGAACGGGCAGTATGCGCTTGCGCACACCGGCCCGTACGGCTTTTATCTTTCGAACATGCCACAAACCCGCCGAACATCATACGATGCTCGGCGGGTTTTCGAACATGTCCATAGGTTAAAAGTCGTGCGACCTTACAGTAGTAGAGGTCGCACGGCTTCCACACACCTTACGATAATCGTACGATCGCGGGATTTCCCGCGATTATCGTACGATTATCGTAAGGTGTGTGGGGACCTTTAGAGTTCCATTATGGATTTTAGAAGGACTGCATCCTCTTGATCTTGATTGGCAGAGTGGAGAATACCTGCCCTTCGGATTTTATGCTCATGTTTAGATGTTCTCAGAACACTAGTTTAACAGCAATCAGATGATTTACTTTTAACAATCAAAGTCACAGACTGGCAGGATGTGCTTTGTAATTATTTCCACACTACGTTGTACATTTTAAGAATTCATTTTATGCTAAATCTTCTCAGAGAACCAAGCAGAATACCTGTTTATAACACCTTTGTTCTCAGAATGGTTACTTAATAATCAGAAAAGACAACTAAATGGCCTAATCTTTGGTATTTATAGGGATCACTCTGTTAGCATACTTAATGATATCCTGTATACTTAATTAGCCAGTCACCTTCTTGCTCCCAATTTACAAGCAGATTTTTAGCTCTCATAAATTAGCTCTAAATCTGGTAACTGCCGCTAATAAAATGAAGAACTAAAACACTTTACTACAATTAGAGCAGCAGTCAGGCACAAAATATCTTTTAGTATTAAACTGCTTATATTAAACCAGGTGTGTTTACAGATCTGACAATATACAAGTAATCTGCTCTGTAACATTCTTTAAGGCTGGGTTCACACCTAGGCGTATCGAATATGCGGTAAAAAAACGCTTCCAAGGGCTACCTGGCTGTATCCCAATGGATACGCACGGCAAATATGCCCCAAAGACGCTCCTGTACTTCTTTGGGCGTAGGGCGTTTTGCAGCGCGTTCCTACGCGCTGTAAAACGTCCAGGTGGGAACCATGCCCATAGGCAATCATTGTTTTTCACATGTTGAGCGTTTTACAGAGCGTAGGAACGCACTGTAAAGCGCCCAGGTGTGAACCAGGCCTTAGTGGTTCAATTAATTTTCTGTCCTTAGTTTAACTTGGAGCATATGCAACATTGTCTCTATATTTTCTTAATTACATTAAATAAAATAACAGAATTTCATGAACTTTCTTTCCACTTTTCATTCTTTACTAACCTATCTTTCTTATTACTCCTTCCATTTCAAATTCTGCTGGTTGCTCTGGGTGACCTGTAGACACAGGGAATTCCTCTGTGTACAATAATAGCTGCCAAAATGTCCAAAGGGCCTTCATCATGCTTTTGTTTGCGTCAGATGGGTTTTGCATTTCGACACAAGTCTATGGGAATGCAAAACCCGCTTTAGGCTAGGTTCACACCTGCACTACACCGCACGACACCCGGGACGGTGAGGTGTCGTCTAGGTGTGCACCAGCCCTCACACTGAGCGATTTGTAGCACGATTTCTGCTCAAAAATTCCTCAATGTAGCTTGTCCAATGCATTTCAATGGAGCTGTTCACATCTCACAGCTCAATGTCGCCTGTAGCTTGCAGTTCAAGCTTGTCGCTCGAACATTACATTTTTCCAGCTGATTTTGTGCAATTTGGGCCCAGTAGGCTTTAATAGACTCAACTCAGCACTGAAAAAGCGTTTTTTAATGTTGCTCAGTGTGAATGGGGTCCAATAGCTGCCAGTGTCAAAGGGCCTGCGTCAACAGGCTTTTGTTTGCGTCAGATGGGTTTTGCATTCCGACACAAGTCTATGGGAATGCAAAACCCGCTTTAAGCAGCTGAAATGCAAGTTTTAAAGAGGACAGCTGCAGGTCAAATGCACCTGTGAATAAATTCTAAATGATCTCAGAAGCATCTCAAACTGATGTCAAATTGATTATATCGATACCAGCCCCAAGCCTGTTAACACAGACCCTAAAGGTCCTGCACAATCCAGAGAAAAGTAGCACGTTAAGCTGCCCATACACGATTATCGTACGACAATCACGGGTGATCCCGCAATCGTATGATAATCGTAAGGTTGATGGGCAACGTGCGACCGCATTTACTGTACGGTCGTACGATATTCGTATAACGAGCATGTCAGAAAACCCGCCAAAAATCGTCCGATTTTCGGCGGGTTGGTAGCGCGATCGCAAGACGAAAGCCGCACGGCCCGAGGTGCGGAAGCGCACACTGCCCGCTCACCATTGCAATCACCTGCAAGCCCTTCCCTCAGAGGGGAGGACTTGCGATGATCGCAAGTATGATCTGCCTGTCCAAGATGGGCAGGTCGTACGAAATTTTAATCACCTTACAACCATCGCACAACGAAAGTCGTGCAATGGTTGTAAAGTGTATGGGCAGCTTAAGAAAGGAATACTGGGACCAGTCAGGTGGCTGTCTCACTAAACAATGCTGTAAGGCTTTGCCAGGCTAAAGGTGCCCATACACCTTACGATTTTCGTACGACGGCCCCATCCTGCCCCGATTATCGAAAGGTTCAATCAGCGGTAGTTTAAAAAAAAACACCTGGACGACTTGCGGTAATTGACCTCAATTATTTTCGTATACACAGTGTTAATCGGACGACTTTTGATGGATTGAAACGCCACCAACCATGCGAACATCGTACGATTGACCAAAGTTTTCAAACACGCTCGACCGTCAAAAGTCGTATGATTGTACAGTACTATCGGTCGGGCACTCTATTCGCACGTTACGATTGTCGTACGAAATGTCGATCGCATACGATTATCGTACGATAATCGTAAGGTGTATGGGCACCTTAACCCTTATGTTCATCTGCATCATCTGAAACCAATTGTGGCTGCAAAATTACCTATATTCCCCGATTTTAACTATGTGTAT